TCTCCCTCTGCACTTCTTCCTCTACTATCCGTACCCTAACAATGCCAAATCTAGTGTCGGAGACTCCCCTTTATAGGTGGGGAAGGTGGTGCTAGAGCCTCCCGGAGTCGTCCGATAAGGTGACAAGTCGACGGTGATGATCAGTCGACGGTTGAAGAGCCACGGATTGCCACCGACGAAAGGGTGTGATGATTCGTGGCTTGATCTGTGGACGAAAGCCACAGATTGCTGACCTGTGAACAGCAAGGCCTAGCGTGACCACGCTCCAAGGCGTGATCACGTTGAGGTACTTTAGGGCGTGGTATATTGGGTCGTGGTCACACCCGACCAAGAAAGAGGGTAAACTTCCTTTTTGACCAATTTTACTTCGTCGAATCAGGGGGCGATGTCCGTGCAAGTCTCATGTGATAAAAAATAAGACCAACAAGTGGACCCCAATATGTGCAGTGGATTATCCAAAGTACGTCGCACATATTGGCGTTGACCGAAGCGACTACAAAATTTGAAGGGTGTCAAAGATTTGGAGTTTAAAATTTTGTGGATTAAATTGTTTGGAATTTGCCGGGATTTTAGGTTTGCCTGGACACATGAGGGAGGATATTCGATGTGGATTTACATCTACTTAAATGGGTGAACAGGTAGACTAAATCAGGAAGGACAGCGCTAGAGCTTATCATTCATCCTGATAACTTGTCAGGGAACTATGAAAATTGCTTATACCATGAAGGAAAGAGTTGGGCTAATATCCAACCTAGAAGATAGACGAAATAGCTAGATCAGAAAGGAAAACGCTGGAGCATATGATTCATTCTGATGACTAGTCAGGAAACTGAAAAGTGTTTATACTAAGAGTGAAAGTGCAGGAACTAACATATAATCTGGAAGATAGATGGAATGGCTAGATCAACAAGGAAAACACTGAATCATGTCATTCATTTTGATGACTAGTTGGATGGGAAGATTTGGATGATTTGACTTAATTTTGCTGGGGAGTGTGATTTAAGGAGTTGCGATGTAAATTTATGTTGGGGCTGGGCACATTAGAAAAGTGGATGCAAAGACTTATTCTCAACCTAAGAGGTGCTCATAGGCAACTTGATCAGGATAGATGATACGGGGATCTAAATTGAAGACAAGTTAGGTGGTCAGTTTAAGGCAGACATTTCAGGGACTAACATCTAGCGTAAGTTCTAACCCGATTGTCTTAGGAATGACCATTGGACTTTGGGCTCCTTAGGATCCTTCTACGGTATGCAATGACTATACCAGAGAGCTGCACATTCTACTGGATTATAGAGTCCTATGCGGGGATCAAGGTCAACGAACCGAGAAGTAGCAAAATTTGTGTTGTGTTAGTTTGATGTTGATTTGACTTGATTTATGGTTTATTTTGATTTGATTTGATTTATCTAGATTGATTTATGGTTTAGGTATCCAATAACTAATGACTAAGAAAGGCTCTTGCTTTGAAACATAGTTTAAATTAGTCAAGAAATTACTTTGTTGTGCCTAGAAATACAATAAAAGCAGTGAACCAAGTTGCTTAGTGCGGGGGCCGTGCCAGGGCTTATTCCCAGTAACGAAGAGCCAATGCCTGCCTGTCCCTCTAGTCCACACTAGTTAGGCTAAGCGATCCTAATTTGGTAGTGTGCAATGGCTATCTAGGATGGTTTATCAACAAAACAGACGAACTTGAGAAAGCAAAGATATACCCTCAGTGTTCAATGAGCTTGACTAATTTAAGGGATTTATCTCAACTCAAAAGTATTAACTTAAATCACTAATCTATGTCAACAACCACTATTGTTACTACATTAACGAACCTGATCTTGTCATGATGGTGCCATATGAGGCTTGCTCCAACTTCTGATGGATCGTTAGCTAGACCTGTGGAAAGGAATGGTCAAGGCTAAACTAAATCTAACTGCCTTGTCTCGAGGCGTTCAATGACTGTATTAGAGGGTAGTGATTGTATTTTAGGTTTAACCAGCCAAGACGTAGACTGTATGACCGATCTCTTGCTGATTAACATTCTACAAACCTGAAGAAAGGAAAAAAAAGTATTTATGTAGGCGTTCAATATACAATATGATTTGGAAAGGTGTTCATTGACCAATCCTAGATTTACAAGTCTAAAGCGTTGAATTGATCGAACCCGAAAATCCGTCGACATTAGCTAGCCCTGCCGACTTCAGTTAGTTAGTCAGCTTTAACTTTAAGTACAGCATTCGATGTCTCTAGTCGGACAGTGACAAACTCTAAGGAGCGGTTACATAGACATAATCCTATCCTAACTTTACTTGGTCAAGGCATAAGTTCCGTCGGACTCGGATGTAGACCAGCCAAAACTAACGGGCCCTGAAGGAAGAAAAAAATATCTCCTTGGTGTGCCATTAATTGGACTGAGAGAGTTTATTTTAACTCAGAATTATCAAGTAAAAGGATTAATTCATGAGACCAATCTTGACTAGTCTGGAATTAATCAACCTATTCACATTGTGTTAGTAGGGCGTACAAGTCCAAATAGACCAAAGCCAAACTTGTGGAAGGTTTGAATAGGATCAAACTAAGTTTGGCAAACCTTTTTCAGTGTGCATTGAGTATACCGGATGAGAGTAAGATATATTTCAACCCAAATTTACTAAATGAATTGACGATTATAGGAAGGTCAATCAACATAATTCCATTGTATTGGTGCCCTATGGGGCATGCTCGAACTCCCAATGAACTGGAAGAATGTTCAAATGAAAAGTTTACAAGAGGCTAAACTTAGAGGGATATCTGTGATTTGTCACATCTTTGGTTTACTAGCTCAAAGGATCGACAACCAAAATCAGCCCTGGCTGATTTGAAGTCAACCAATTTGATCACATCGTGATGGTGCCGTGCTCCAACTTCCGATGGATCAAAATGAACTTCTTTCAGCATGCGATGGATTAAGTTGAGAAGATATTTAATCTAAAGGTTTGATCTTCAAAACCAAACCCTGATTGGTCTGAGGATAATCAACCCGGTCCCATCATGTCGATGCCTTGTGAAGCGTACTCCAATTTTTGATAGACCCGAAAAAGTTTAAAGTGGATTTGTTGTGCATTATGTTTGATATTTCGTTTTTGTTGGATTGATTTGTTAAATTTGGTTTTTTTTTTTTTTTTTTAACGATGAATTTTTAATTTATATTTGGATGTAGAGACCGCATGAGTCATTACACCTTATCCAAACAGTAATGATAGTCTAAGGATCATATCCTTAGGACTATGAAGGGTTTTAATGTTTGAAAGTTTTTGAGATTTTCTTTGGAGTTTTTCTTGAAAATTTTTGTTATGGTTTTGATTGACTTTGATTATTGTAGTTTTGATTATCTTGATTTTTATTGTTTTGATTTTGTCTGTTTTGATTTTGATTGTTGTAGTTGACTGGTTTTGAGAGTTTGTTTTTTGAAAATTTTTGTTGGTTTGGAGAAATGTTGCTTTTTTGTTTGGAGAATGCTAATTATTTTTGGAAAATGATTGTTTATTTTTGTGTTTGTTTGAATTGATTTGTTTGAAGGATTTTAGCGTGAATATTTTAGGATGAAAAACACAGTGACTCACATCTTAAGAAGTGAAATGAATAGATCAAGTTAAAAAGCGCACGACCTTGCATCTAACTTGAGAGCTATCGAGAAAATATTTTTGATTAATCTGAGCACATTAGGGTGGAAACCATGGAGACTCACATCCAACCTAAGAGGTGAACAGGGTCATTAGATCAAATTAGAAGGAGCTCACGTCTAACTTAAGAGCTAATCGAAGAATGATTTGGTTTGATTAACCCAAACACATTAGGGTGGAAAACAGGTGAACTCACTTCCAACATAAGAGGTGAACATGGTGACTAGATCAAATTAGAAAGCACATGGACATACATATAACTTAAGAACAAATCAAAGGGAAAGAAATCTAAGGGGACATTACGCTAGACCCAAAGGAGATTATTTTGATTGTGTTTGATCTTGAAATTTTATGGTTTGAAGATTTTGTTTGAGAATGTGGTTATTTTTGTTCGAAAGCTTTGTTTTGTTTAGAAATTTTATTGTCTTGTTTGAAAGTTGATTATTTTGTCAATGAGTTTGTGAGTTTCTTTTATAGTTGTATTGGGTATAAGATACTCTGAGGTAATTACATCTTGCCCAATGACAACCAGAACGGTCAAAGGACAAGGTCCTAAAGACTGAAAATTTTGAATGTCTTTACATTTTATTTTTTATTTCGAGTTTCAGATCCAGTTTTCATTTCAAGGATTTATGTTTTGAATTGTAACTTTGAGATTTTAAAATTCAATTGAATTCAATTTCATTTGAGTTTGACATTAAAATTCAAAATAATGAGAATTCAAGTTTTCTTTAGAGAATCAGAGACTCAGTTCTGTTAAGACTTGAAATCGAATTTTCTCAAATGACATGTCATCTCGTCCAGGACCCAAAATCAAATAGTTAAAATTTTCATTCATGAACAAACCCAGTGTTAATTATATATAAATAATGAGTAGCGCTTTTATTTTTACCTTGATAAAATTGAAGCCAAGCATTATTATTTTTCAAAATTTTGTATTTTAGTTTGTTTATATTTTATGTGTTTATCATTTTAAATCCTGAAAGGTTGTTCACAAATTTTCAAAAACTAGAATATTGGTAACAACCCTGAAAGGTTGCCAAAATCTTATGCATTGTTCTTTCCACATTTTATCACACTAAATAAAACCTTAGAATGAACCGTAGTATACAACTTGAACTACGAGGACATAGAAAGTGGCTTTAAGTATTCTATCACTGCTTTTGTGACATTGAATTTGCTAGCTTTAACGCTCCATAAACTTTGTTGTCCATAAGATCCTCACATTTTTATTTGCTCTCTCAAGATACATCCGTCCCCACTGACACAATCACATACATACAGGACATCTATTCAATACAATATTAACAATGATGAGTTCAACCTTTTACATCTATTGTTTTGCAGGGGTGCTCAAAGAACTACTGCAGTCCTTCCCCTCATTAGCTATGACAACGAGTTCATCAAATGCTACTGCACTAGATTCTGCAGCAACTCAAGGACACGTTGATATAGTCAATCTTCTCTTAGAAACAGACGCAAGTCTTGCCAAGATTGCACGTAATAATGGCAAAACTGTTCTTCATTCAGCAGCCAGGATGGGACATGTTGATGTGGTGAGGTCACTCTTGACTAAAGACCCCGACATTGGCTTGAGGACAGACAAGAAGGGGCAGACTGCTTTTCACATGGCCGCCAAGGGAAATAATGTGGGGATTGTCCTCGAACTGTTGAAGCCTGATTCATCCATTGTCAATGTGGAAGATAATAAAGGAAACACATCGCTGCATATTGCGACTAGAAAAGGTCGTTCTGAGGTTAGTTTGGATGTCTTGATGTCTTCACTGCAAAACCTTTGTTCGAACCATATGACGAACTTATTTTTTACAACCATTTTTATTGCTGGCTAATTGCTCTGCTCATTCAACAGATTTTAAAATTTAGGATTCTGAGTTCTATTTGTAGTAAGATTTGCTTTTAGAGATCCATATGGTTGGTCATTGGAGATAGTGATATTTTGTTAGGAACTTCCACACTTTTCATTTTAAAATTTAGGATTCTGAGTTCTATTTGTAGTGAGATTTGCTTATAGAGTTCCCTATGGTTGGTCATTGGAGATAGTGATATTTTATTTGGAACATCCACACTTTTTTCAATAATGACCTTTTGCTCTGAAGATAACATGATTATTTTTTTGACACAAATGGTTTATTGTAAACTTTTATGTTATAAACTTTGGCCTTTTTTCCTGGCTTTTTTTCCTATCATTAAGAAAAAAATTCAATTTGTGAATTTGCAGTTTTCTAGCGTTCAAATAATTTCTCAGAACTTCAAGGAGGATGAAATTGTTTTCTTACCTTTTTAATGCTGAAAAGAAATGCTCTCAAGTTTCTTTTTTTCTTTTGGAATGTGTGCTGGTATTTTAGTCCTAAACTATTTTGATGTACCAAATTTGTTTTCTTATCTGACTAAAATTGATCCAAATTAGTCCCACCGTTAGAATTTCTTTTTAGGGTGACGGAAATTTCAGATAGGAGCTTAGATTATCACAAAGGTTATGTAGATCATGGAGTGCTAGAAGAGTGCCAAGATCGTGGATATCTCACGTAATCTTTGAGTTTCATTCTTCTCTGCTTCTTGTGGTTTTTGATCTCCCTTCTGCTTTCGCACATCTCATTTCACTTTGGCTGCACGTTGAGTACTAAATGAAATTATGGATTATAATAAATAAAAAAATAGGCTTGGTAGTAAAATGCATAAGGTGGATATACTCTTTAATCCTATCAAATACAATTTTTTTCCATATCTGACAAAAAATTCTATTTAGCGTAGGTAATCTGTATCAAATTGGAAGAATGAGGGAATAATTTGGGGACATTGGATTGTCTGTGACTAAATCATTTGAACTTCTTTTCCTTTCTTTCTTGGATTATTGCAGAAATGAGATGCATAAAAACTTACTTATTTGCTTAACCCATGATAATGGATCCAAATCTCATTTCTTTTGACCTGGAACATCTATAGCCTCCTTCAACTTATCTTATGGTCTCTTTAGATAATCATAATTAAGGGTGTGCTGATTATCTTGTTGTCTAGTTTCTTTGATAAAACATTACGTTTATTTGTGATTTAATTGTAATTTCTTCCCAAGTCCTCTTTGCAGATTGTGCAAACTCTGTTATCAGTTGAAGGTATCAAAATCAATGCACTCAACAGAGCTGGTGAAACTGCCCTTGCCATTGCAGAAAAAAGTGGCTTGGAAGAAATTGCTGCTACCTTGAGGGAAGCTGGTGCCGTGGCTTCCATAGAGCAGAACAACCACATAAGCCCAGCAAAACAGTTAAAACAGACGGTCAGTGACATCAGGCATGATGTCCAGTCCCAGCTGAAGCAGACCCGACAGACCGAGATGCGGGTCCAAAACATCAGGAAGCGGCTCCGGAAGCTTCATAGTGGTGGCCTTAATAATGCCATCAACTCCAATACTGTAGTTGCTGTACTGATTGCCACAGTTGCCTTTGCTGCCATCTTCACCGTACCAGGGCAGTTTGTACAAGATCCAGCCCCGGATGGGCTTACCCTTGGTCAGGCCAATATTGCTAACAATGCAGCCTTCATCATCTTCCTTGTATTTGATTCCCTCGCACTCTTCATATCTCTTGCTGTTGTTGTTGCCCAAACATCCTTGATAGTTGTTGAGCAAAAGGCCAAGAAACTTATGGTGTTTATCGTAAACAAATTGATGTGGGCTGCATGCCTTTTTATTTCAATTTCCTTCATCTCCCTCACCTACATTGTCGTAGGCCGCAAGGACTGGTGGTTGGCATGGTGCACCATGGCCATAGGTGCTTCAATTATGCTCACCACAATAGGGTCAATGTGCTACTTCATTGTACTCCACCGAATGGAGGAGAAGAGCTTGAGAAGCATCAGTAGGGGCTCAGGTAGCAGATCCAGGTCTTGGTCTCTATCAGTGCCATCCGACTCCGAGCTGCTGAACACCGAGTACAAGAAGATGTATGCCATTTAGATTCACACAACTTTTTATCGCATGTAAATGTTTGTTTTAGACTATAGTATATTTGTAAGCCATTATTGGCATTTTAAGCTGAGGTGGAACCAATTTGTATGATCATGAAAGAGGTTAGAATTTGTGGGTGTTAATGAAGGCCATTAACATCCAGACAGACTGAATGGTTGCTCTCTTTTTGTCAATCTTTATATTGTGACAACGGAGCAGGCTTGGCCTCTTCTTCATTTCTGCAACGGGCTACTTCACTTACGCAAGGAAGCTTAAATTCACGGTTCATGGCCATAAGATGTACTCTTTTTGACAATTAATTAGTGCTTATTGTGCATTCCATATGTAGAAAATTGGTCTAGCCTGCCCAATAATTGTTGGAACGCAGTCTGACAGCTATCGTAAATTGGAAATTATTGTTTCTTGCCTCAAATGGAATAGCAGAACCTTGCTTGAACTGAAAGTGTTGATGAAATTTTAGCCTTTAATGGATACTGACATGAATATGTGAGATGGCCTTTGCCCGCAAATGAGCTTTAGTGGACACTTACGTGAATATTTGAGATGGCCCGTGTCTTTTTCTTTGAGTCGAGGCGCCATTACTCAATAACTGAACCTTTTTAGCAATGTTGTCTGGATGGTGTGTTCTGTGCCTTGTCGAGATAATCAATTTTTTTTTTTTTGCTCTTCTAAATGGACAACAAGCACAATAAGTCTTTATCCCGCTAAATAAGGTTTTCCATATATATCATTTAAATATATACAATTTTTTTTTTTTTTAAAAATGGAGAGTTTTGTTAATCGAATGATGTGATTTTACTTGGTGATTGACTGAATCTATCAAACTTAATCTTGAATAATCCTATCTAACTTGGCGTAAGGTTTCAGATTTTTTTTTTTTTTTTTTGTTTTTGTTTTTTGAGAGTTGCTATTTAACAACCTTTGAGAATGGATTTTTTTAATGAAAAAAATGAGCGAGCTAAAAGTTCTCACATAAAAAATTATTACTTTTTTGTTTGGAATTTTCATTTGCACTTCATTCATCGCTTAGTCATTTTGATTTCTTGACCTCTATACCATGGTTTGGAATACAAGATTTTGGATTGTAACATGAACACGCTTGATTGACTCTTTAGTTGTTAGCTTCGCCTTAGGAAATAGCTCCCAAACTTGGCATCTTACGCGCTTGGCGGTTTGCTCCCATATTTGTCGCCTTATTATAGATGCTACAAGCCATCCCTTCTTTTATCATTTTACCCATCACATTTTTTATTGCATTAATAAATTGAAGAATCCAAACTTGAAATCATTACAAAGAAAGTCAATGACATACATGTTAATACAGAACCCAAGTTTGTCCCGATTAATCTAAAGAGTGTAAGGGGTCGACATATTGATGAAGTATTCAATGAATTAGAAGTTGATCTTAAACAGTTCACAAAAAAGGATGGAAGTTAGTAGGCTTTAGCAGAAATTGCCACTGTCATGAAGGTTCAGACCAGAGCTTCATTAAGAGAATGATAAGAAGAGATAAATTTACAAGATGTTATGGTTCAGAAAGGTGGTGATAAACCAAACACAACTCGATAACTTATAAATCAGTTGAGGTACAAAGAGATGAAAGCATTGAACCATGGAGAAAATTATGAAGGAGATTATGAATGTCATTTTGATAAATTAAAACTAGATACTGGTACATCACCAAGATGTTGTAGTTGAAGAGAGGGCGTTACCTTATACAACTCAACAACTATTGGATGGGTTGAAGCAAAGGGAAGCCCATATTGAGAATTTAGAGAACAAAATGGAAGAACTACTATATTCAATACCCCTAGTTCAAAAGAAACTGTTACTCAAATAACAATTATAAGGAAATAGTGAAACATGAAGCTGTTCATGTCCTTCATAACTCAATGATAAGAATAGTAAAGGAGGAAGTCTCTACGAAATAGTCAGAAAGTCTTATTTTGCCTGAAAAGGAGTCAAATCTCTGATTGAGCAACAAGTAAAACATGATTTAGCTCAAGGTCAATATGGTACCTCAATACTCATAGGATGACCTTACCTTGAAGAGTTTGATAACATACAATAAACTAAAGGTTTTTTGCCACCCTATTTCAAAGTATTTGATGGAACTGGGAATCCAAGACAGCACGTAGCACACTTTTGAGCTAGTTGTTGTAATGCAAAGGGAAGCTGATCCACCTTAAAACTATATGTTTTTAGTTACATGTTTAATGTTACATGTTTAATGTTCATTTTATGTACATTTTTTTTATGATATTGCACTTTAAAAGAAGGTATTTTACATGTTTTTAGTTTCGGGTAAAAGGAATGGATATTTAGAGAAAATGAGAACAAAATTAAGCAAAATGACAACACTCATATGGCGCCATAGCATCACCCCTTGGCACCACAGTGCCAACTTACGACCATGATGGGTGATATAGCGCCCCAAACTGGCTCTATAGCGCCAATAACTGATTTTCTAGAATATTGATTGAATTTGGCCAAATTTTGGAGGGTTGCTTGAAGTGATTGAGCCTCCTTAAAATTACATATTTTTATGCACATTTTATACTCAATTTTTAGGATATTATGTTTTAATGAGAGGTATTTTTATGTTTTTTGTTGCAGATGCAAGAAGAAGAGTTTAAGTAAAAGGAAGAAAAATACATCAAAAAGGAGCAAAATAGACTAAATTGAAGAAAACTACCAAACCAGCCGAACCGGCGCTTAGGCGCTAGGATCTGACATCTATGTGCTAAAAACAAAAATTGGTTGGCGCCTAGGTGGGGCAGTTTGGCGCTTAGGCTCCACAATTATTTTCTAGAAGATTGATTAAATGAGGTCAAATTTTGAAGAGATGTCTGAAGCAACCCTTAGTCGTTTTTGAAGCTCGATAAATATAGATTAATTCCAAAGGGCTAGGGGGTCAGATCTATAGAGTCTCATAGTGTGTGAGTGTGTTAAGTGTGTGAGAAGTTTTCTTTGTGAGTCTTTTTTATTTCTGAAATTTGTGAGTCTTGTAAGTGTTGTTGGAGTCAGAGAAGTCAGAAAACTTCAAAAATGTTCTTGGGGGAACATTCCAGATAAGTATTTGTATCATTGTCTTTAAGTTTTGTACATTGGATTTGAGTTTTATAAATATGTTTTGCTTTGTTATCTCCATGCTTCCCAAGTAGTTTTCTTTCTTTCTCCTTGCAATATGAGTTTTATAAATATGTTTTGTTTTGTTATCCCCATGCTTCCTAAGTAGTTTTCTTTCTTTGTCCTTGCAATATGAAGTAATTAAGCATGCGGTTTTGATTTTTTTTAGAACTTCTTTTATTCCTAAAAATTGTGATGATACTTTTATCGGTCCTTCATTTACTTTATAAATTGGCCACTTGAATTGTTAAAACCTGTTGAGGAACTTATAGACCTGAAAGGGCTAAGATTTCTTAACTTGTAAGTATCACATTCTACCTTGGAAAGAGTAGTCGTGATCGTCTAAATGGGGGTGCAAATATATAGGGAGATAAGATTTGATAGGCATAGAATTGATGTTTCTAGAGTGACATGGTTAATTCTTTTATCAATTAGGTCTAAGGATTGGAACTAAGGGTCACTGGTAGGTTTTATAGAGAGGGCACATTGGGTAATCTAAGAGTGAAAGACTAGAACCTACTCAACACTACTATACATGTCAACACCAACTTTAGATTAACCAATGTTCTTTGCATAATTTGAAAGAAAGTAAAGAAATAGGTATGCACCTATTTGTCACAATACCACATTTAAGTTTATAAAAAAATTTTGAAATCCTACACTAATTATGAATTATTGGCAAGGAGAAATTCTCTTTTTATATATAGTCTAAGTTATTACATTTACTTTTACTTGCATGTTTTAGAATTTAGTAAACTTAATTTACATTTTTAGATTGTTGTTGTAATCTTAGGTAAAGTTTTCTTAAAGTTAAAATTCTTGTATTTCATTTAACAGTTTTCTTGTTTTCAACTTCCTCATGGGATCGATACTGAGATTTTTAAAGAAAACTCTATAATACTTGAAATGATGTGTATACTTGCATAGTACCCCTAATGAGAAAATTATCTCTTTAATTTTTCTAATATTACATTTGTTCTCACTAGCCACTAAATATAAATTGTTTCAAGCTTGTAGTATATTAAGGAACATAAATAGTTGCATAATTGCGTGTTGGGTCAAGTTTTTGGCGTTGTTGTCGGGGACGCGGTAAAAAAACAAAACTTTAAAAGAAATGTCTTTTTCAGAATTTTATTTGAAACATTATTTTTTATGGCTAAAAATTTTAGTTTTTACTTGCTTGAAATTTTCAAAATTACAAAAAAATTACAAAGAAAATTATAAAATCAAAAAATTATAATCTTTTTTGCAAAAACTGAAAAATGAAAAAAAAAATAATTTTATTTAGATTGCTTTAGTATTTTATTTTCTGAATTTTACTTTTTTGTATGCAAAGTTCAAGATCTGAATGGTTAGTACTCTACGATTCTAACTTAAAAAGAACCATAAAAAGAATTAGATAGGAAAAAAACACTTCACAATTTTCAAGAAATGACAAACACATCACAAAATAACATTGAAACATTTACTAATGAAAATGAACAACAAAATTTACAAAAACCTTTAAGGGATTATGCAAACTCTATGACAGATGAAATTCATTTAAGTATTCAAATTCCTATTGTAGCGGCTAACTCCTTCAAACTTAAACCTGCAATAATACCAATGGTGCAAAATAATTAGTTTGGGGGAACACCAACTGAGGATCCAAATTTATATCTTACAAGTTTTCTAGAACATTGTGCTACATTAAAATATGATGGTGTATCAAATTGTATCAAATGATGTGATTAGAAAATGATGTGATTAGACTTAGACTTTTTCCTTTTTATTTAAGGGATAAAGCTAAGATGTGGTTAAATTCATTAGCACCTGGATCTATTAAAACTTGGGGATAAATGACACAAAAATTCTTGGTTAAATATATTCCTTCTTAAGAAACTACTAAGCTTAGAAATGATATTACTTCTTTTATTCAATTTGAAGGGGAATCAATTTATGAGCTTGAGAACGATTTAAGGAACTCCTTAGAAAGTGTTCACAGCATGCTTTACCTGATCGGTTATTTATTCAAACATTTTAAAATGGGTTAATAGAATTTCAT